AAATTCTTAAGCAAAGGGAGAAGACTGCGATAGAGAAAGAATAAGAGGATAAAAATTAGTAATCTAAACAATAAATTTGTATGAATAAAAATAAACATTTGTACAAGTTACATTTTATAGCTCATACAAAAAAATGTAGATTTTTTCAAAAATCCTCCTGTATTTACGAAATAATTCTCCTCTGTAGGTGTTAGATACCATATCTGCATGACAAATAGCCCTACAGTTCAGCATTGTGAAACAAGCTCTCATTTTGCTTGTGGATCCTGCAGTCCTGGAATTTGGACAAAACAATTGGAGTTCAACTATTTCTGCTAATGTCCAGGGTTTCAGCTTGGTAGTGAAATTGAAGAATCATTTGCCCAACTGTCAGGGAGTGGCCGCCGGCCGTGGGCCGGGAGGCTCAGTTCTTCTCCGTGTGCGCCTTTGCCTGTGGTCTCTCGTGAGTGGGCCTCACTGAATTTCCCCCACAGAATGGTAACGCGTTTCTGGGGTGGGGAGCTGAGGCGGATGGTGTACAAGGCTGGAGGTGCTATCGCCTCCCAGGGCATTGGCATTCTGCACATCCAAGTGGTCACAAAGTCCATTTAGGTCTAGAGCAATGGAAGATGGATTCCAGATGGTGAATGGCAAACTTCTAAAAAATATGTGGGTTAGAAACATTTGTACGCCCACTTTTTAAAAGTATAATGTACTGTATAGTGATTGATATTCGTTTTATAGACACAAAATTGAGGTACAGGAACTTAAATCATTGTTCACATCAATTTCATTTGTACAAAAATTATACACAGTACTTTAATTTTTACCAGTATGTTTGCAGTACATACTGGTTACATCCATCATGAGGGCCTCACCAGAAGAGGTCATTTAATAAGGAAGGGAATAGGAGGACCTGGTCCATGGACAGCAGTAATCTTTCTTCAGCTACCCCTGTCACTGCCCAACAGGCTCATCTACAAGCCGGTCAAGGTGGCCAGGGTGGAGGTTCTGCATCGGCTCAGCAGCATGGTCTTCTACTTAGCAAGAGTGACCTGGCTACAACCACTCTTAAGTCCTAATCTGCCTGCAGCAGAGACCATCACTAAGTACAGAATATAGCACGACGCCCTGGGGATGATCAGCCTGTGACCTGGTGGCAGGCTAATCATAGTTGTACCTTGGTTCACACACTTCATTCCTTCCACAAGTCTGGGGAAGAGGCTGCATGCACGTTCCATGGGGGGAAGATGGCTATGGTTGTTTGTCACCAGATGCAGGGTTTATGTACAGAAATACAATTTTGCCAAATGCTTCTGTTCATGAAACAAACTGTCCATGAACAAAAGCATTTATGAACTGAGGTACTGGACCGTTTCCACGGACACTTCTCTCAGGTGTGGATCTGCCTTCTGTTTCCGGCAAAACTACCATCTGTGGACTTCCATAATGCCTCATCCACTGTCACGGCACTCCACACAGCATAGTTTCTGACCAGGGAACGTACTGCAGGGCCAGAGGCACGCCACAGTGCGCTCATGCAGATGGCCTCACCCTGCGGGGCTGCCCAGAAGCAGATGGATTGCCGGAACTGTGGAACGACCTTTGGAAGACGGAAAGACAGCACCAGCCAGGCAGCAGCACCTCCGTGGCTGGGGCGAGGTTCTCCAGAGGCTGCGTATGCTCTGAATCAGTGTCCGGACTTTTTTCAAGATTCTTGAGTCCAGGAATTAAGGGGTGGAAGTTGGATAGCGCCACTCCCCATCACCTTAGAATGCAACCTAACGCCTAGAGGATAGCAGAGCAGATTAAAATGGACCTGTCTGAGCCAAGTTTGGGCTAGCCTACTCCGAGTCTTTAGGCCACTCTGAGTGGCATTTTCAGCGACTCGTTGCCAAAAGCATTCCTGATTATTCACTTTTTTCTAGGAAGCTACTTGGAGGATGCTTGGCATAAAAGTTTCCAGATTTACTCTGGACATCTAAATTCTTCAGCCTCATTTAGGAACTCCATGTCCATTCTGCTTTGAGAATCTCTTGACTTGCTCCCTTCCCACAAGGACTTCATCTCTGCCTTCACCCACGCCCCAGCGCCGAGGGGGAGGTGTCTTCCTTACTCTCCATTATTTCCTCTACTTCCTTTTCCTTTCCTAAATCACAGGTTTTTGTAATACAAGGTCTGAGACTTCACTCACCGTTTGTCTCCTAGGTCTACCTTAATTCCAATTTCCTATCCAATTCCTCCACGACTTCACACGGCTTCATGAAATTAGCCCCTCGCCGTTTGCTCTGTTACTCTGACTTCATATATCCGCTGGTGCTCATCCAATACTGGGACCGGTCCTTAGACTCCTCAAATCCAGCAGCTCCCTCGTCCTGCATCCTACTCTCCGTAACTGTGAGGAGGAGCATCTATGGGACTTGGGGCCGGAAAGCGTCTCTTTGGAGCCCAAACTGGCCCTCTTCTGAGTTACTACCATGGCGCCTCTCAGCCAGTACGTATGGAGAAATCTACCCCAACGTCTGTACAGTCAACGACGGACTCCAGTAAAGTTGTCGCTCTGAGCTGCTCTTGCCACTCTCTGAAGGTCAAGACCTCCTAGGGAGAGGTATTACTGAAGAAAAATCAATAGCAGCTCTTTAAAATGTCAGCGTAAAATGCCAATCAAAACAAGTATAAAAGGTTAATAACCTTTTTGAGTATTTCAAAATGCATTATGATTAAACAGAAGCTGTAATGACATGTTACCCACCGAAGGACAAGAGTGAAGGCTCCTTACTCATCGGATAAATTCACTACAAACATTCCACTGATCAAGTCACAATGTTCTTCAGGTTGTGTGCTCACAACACCCGCACCCCCCGGGTAGTGGGTTCTTTTCATTTATGTAAAGATTCAGTAAAATCACCAGCTATCACTGAGCACGTACATTAGAAGTCAGGAAGGGGCAGAGTGTATCTGGCAAGAAACTGAGGTAAAGTGCTTTTTTATGGAGACAGTGGAGTCTTATGTTTTCTAAGGTATTAAGTGAATACACCTAGAAGACAAGTTCAGATACGCCAGGGCATCTGAGACAAAGGCTTAATACTGATCCTGGGTGGTACTGTGTCTCTGGTAACCATGGAGAAGTTGGATGCGTTTAAACACTACATGCTGGAAATTGCTTACGAATGAGTCAAGGATGAATCTCTCGACTGTAGAGAAGCTCGGTGGAAATGTTTCAAAGTCAGATTGGAAAATCATGCTCGAAGACTTCAGAGTCACAAAGGTTCCAGGTAGCGTTGATTAAAGAAAGTATCCTCACTCTCACTTCTACAGGGGGAAAAACATACAACAAACGTGAAGGCCAGCAACTCTCAAGAGAAAGGTTTCTTAGTGCATTGAGTAACAAGACTCCACTGATTTCTCAAAACTCTGTCTCCAAGGGTTAGGAGCACAGTTATTCTGGTGAGAGACCAACAGGCATGTGCCAGTCTCACGAAGGCGTGCACGACCGCTCTAAGTCTGACTCTGCAGGGAGGACAGCAGCAGACCACCTGCAGTACACCTCAGCAGCGGACCCGGAGCCAGAACCCTCTGCGCTCCCTGGGTCTCAGGAAGGGTCTTCGCTTTCTCTCCTCGTCCAATCTTTCTGCTCGCGGCTTACCGCTGCCACTCAAGGCAGTCACTCTTACACTTTCTAGCCCCCGAGGCGATGGCTCCCCCACAGAAAGGAAAAGGGCACGTCTCTCCCGGCTCTGCGGCGGCCGCGTGCTCTGGGACGTACCCCTCCCAGGGTCCTGTGTCTCCGTCGAGCGCTTATCCTGCTCCTCCCGCAGGTCCTAAAAACTGTTTTTGGGACGAGTCAGCAAACCCGCAAACTTACTCTACAGGAAGGGGGAACTCCTCCTCTCAGCCCCAGCCTGGCGACAGTGAGAGCTGGTCTCTGAAAAACAGAACTCACAGGGTTATGACGAAAGAAAGTTCCACTGAATCACAGGAAATAACCAGAATGAAAGGCTTGCCTTCCTTTGGAGAAAAGAAGGCACAAACCCAGAAAACAACCTTGATTATTTCCCCGTATCTTCCCTGAGGCCTCTGAAAAAGTATTCAGAACTGAGAAGGAAGGAATAAAAAGACAGTGGTGAGGGAGGTATGCCCTAAACGCTAGAAGAAAAATAAACCTTACAAAATTGAATGACCACCTCTTATAAGACAAAATATTTGAAAAGTTCATTTTTTAAAACCTGATAAGGAGAATGACCAAGGACCCTGAGAATCTCTCAACTACTGTGGGAAAAGTAGGCTATTCAAAATGCTGAGCAAAATACACCTCCTACCGTTTGAGACAAGGCAAAAAAGTAAGCAAATATAAAGTGGTGCTTACACACTGTCATTGGTACCTGCAGTATCAGCACTGAAACGTGCGTGCAGAACTAGGTTACCTTTTGGCACGATGGCACACGTCCGAGGTCCCCGAGGTCATTTTTCGCGGCCCAGGCGGTGCGGTGCAGAGGGGGAGAGTGTAAGTCTGCGTGCACACGCGTGTGCGCAGTGGGGCCGACACACAGGCACTGACAGGATGAGCCCGAAAACCCGTGGAAACCTCCCTCGGGGACCAAACACTGCAGACTGAAGAAAACAAAAAAGAGCCCCCACACCCGGACACCCCCGCCCGTGTGCCGGTATCGGGCGGGAGCCTGCGGCTCCCCATTTGCTGCTTCTCCCAGTCACCATGAAACACTTTCACAAAACGAGCACAGCTGCAAACCGAGTATTCACCCAAGGAGGTCTTTCCAAACTTCAATTAAAACGACACATTTATTTTTTTTCCTCTAAAAGAAAAATTCCTGCACGAGCTGAAAATAATTTAACTTAAAACAACTTCATAATGAAAAGTCCTTTCTCTTGTCTGGTCAGACAACAGCAAGCTGCCTTTATTCCAGGCTGGGTAGTTTTTGTCCTGGGAGACACTGCCCTCTGCTGGGACAGAAGCTTTACTGCAGAAGGTATTTTTACTGAAAAAAGACGCGCAAAGAAGGTAATTTTTAAAGACTTTATTTTGAATAATAATATACGTATCATTTGTTCCATTTAACTTTCATAGTGCATAGCTGTGTTTGGCAGTATATAGGGAAAAATAAACATCAGAAATATCCACAGATGGGAGTATACTGGAAAATACATTTTATGTATCTATGAATGGGTTTAGAAATATTCTACGACAGAATCCATTAGGTAAGATTAAGAACCACGCAAAAAATGTCATTCAAACCATGGCAGAGAAGCGCAGTAAGTGCAAGTTATAGTTACCTGGGTATAAAAACTATACATATTCTTTGGATTAAAAACAGTACGAGGCTGGTTATGCCTAGACGAAAACCTACAGAAGTAAAAAGTGTGGATGGTGTTATGCCACCTGTGATAAAGAATACTCAAGGCCGCAGACGGACGTCAGCGGCTTACAGAGACCAGCGAGAGGCAGGCTAAGTGAGCCGCAGAGAAACGCAAGGAGGCGACGCCCCCGCGCCTAAGTCCGGACCGTGAGCGCGCGGGCGTTAAGTCCGCTCCAGGTGCTGCGCTGCGCTAGCTCACTGCGCACCCACGAGCTGCGCTCACGTGCACTACGAAGCTCCGGAGCACGGCCAAGCAATACCCGTAAAGCCTCGGCCTTAGGCCAGGTCTGGTTTTACACACGAAGGAGAAAGAGGAATGTAAAATCAGAAAAGTTCATCTTTCCATCCAAGACACTAACTTTGTTTTATATACATAGTTTTTGGCACCAGTGGTATAGGGATATGAAGATTAATTAAACTCAAGCTTCCAATTCAAAGACTTCACATTTAGGAAGCAGAGGAAAGCTAGGGGTCATCACCATTTTTAAAATCAAATGTTTAATGAACATTTTTGAAGTTAAGACAGAAAAATCTGATGAGGAAAATACAATCTTCTGCTTGCCTCTATAGTACTCTTTCTTTTCATCTTCTTCCAATGGCATTTTACAGTAGAAACGCGGACACTCTGCAGCGGCGGCCCAGACCGCCCGGTGCTCTCCTAGGACATCATCTTCTTGCACTCCACCGAGCAGAAGACCATCCCCTCCACGGGCACGAACTTCTGCCCGATGAGGCACCTGCTGCAGCAGGAGCACAGGAAGCACTCCGTGGACGCGTGCCAGCTGAAGCCGTTGTAGGTCACGCGCTGCACCTCCGGGTCGATGGCGTTGTGGCACCCCTGGCACACCTGCCCGGGAACAGTACGGGTGAGAGAAAGGGTGTGAGATCAAACAGTGCGGGAGCATTTCCACCGGGAGGCGAAATGAACAGGCGTCTTCAGACGGTAAATTAAATCACGACAACCTCCAAGACACACATACTGAAAGAGATGTCTAGTTCATCTATACGCCACACACTGCAAAGCAGCAGGCAGAGACCGAACAGGCAATCTAAAGAAGTCCTGAAGCCAAAGTGCAAAGCAGTACATCTGCTTTCAGCATATTCCACTAACTGGCGTATTAGTAATTATAAAGAAGTTTATTAGGTGATTCTTCCTCCCTCATTAAAGCTTTGAAGTGGTAATCTGTCTTACGTATGACACGTGAGATTATTAACATCACTAATTTCTAGACAGTATAAATTAAAATCATGTTCAAAGTAATTAAGGACTCAATTAAAAACACTGACAGTGTTTGAGAATAATGAGTTTGCACTAAAAATGTAACTTGTAGTTAACTGGCTTCTGTCCTGTCGTAAGATCAGTCATAATTTATGTATGATCTAATACTGTACAACGTTAATACTCAACTCCCTGCCAGTGTGTGTTACACTCAGATGCACACATGATGCACACACTGCTTTAACTGAGCGTGTATGTATAACGTAATACTCTTCTGTGTTACAGCAGGAAAGAGAAAACCAACCCACTGAAACTCCTGAAGCACAGACTAGTCCCAGACGCTTTTCTGCTTATATAAAGTGCTAAATGGATGTGAAACTCTGGTCCTCAACTACTTTATAACAAGTGCAGAAATCAAGGTGAGTCAGTGTAAGATGACAGCGGCTAATCTTACGCAAGCAGTTTGTTACTGTCAGTTTCAGACACTACCGAGCGGGGAGCGGTAGGCGGACGGGATCGTTCATCCTGAGCCGTCTCAGGCGAAAACCCTTCAGTGTGGCTGCTACGCAGTAGGCAAACCAGGTCAGGGCGGGCAGCGAGGCCCTGCTACACACGTCCGCTGCGGAGCTACAACGTACTTACGGTATTTCTAGAGCTACACTGCTTCTAAGCACAGAAATGGCAGTACAGCTCGGTAATCTAAAAGTACATGAACTCAGCCTTCCACAGGGAACAACAGCCATGTTTTCTTGGATGACTGACAGATTTTCCTGCATACAACAAAAACCGATATAATTACAAGCACACTCCTAACTGGCAGCTGCATCGTATAAACCACATTTGCATTTATTTTCTACAGCTTTACAACTCATTTCAAATTTTTAGTTTTGTACATTTCCTATGAAACTTTTAAACCTCGTCTGAAGGAAACAGAAGCGTCTAAGGCCATCCCACCCTGAACGCGCCCGATCTCGAATGAGACAAAAGCATTTCACACTGACGTTCCATGCCCTTGCTTGCAGACCATAATCTACCTTCCTTTTCTCACTCCTGTAATACTGTTTGTGGACCTTCCTATGATTAAGAAGCATATACTTTATTCTCAATTCGCGGAGAAAAGAACAGGTAACTGTTCAATTACACGTGGAATAAAGAAAGCTAGGGAACAACTGACGAGCACGCCACCGACAGAACGTAAGGTCCCGACGCTGACTTGTACTGCCGATTTCACTGCCACTCACCTCTGCCCCGCTCTGCAGTTCCAGAAGCCTCCAGCTCCCTACTCCTAACACATGACAGCCGCCACGCTGCGCACAGGCCTGGCCACTGCACACGCTTCCTGCGCACGCTAGACTTCCCGTCCCCGCCCCTCCCGCCTTTAACGGTACTTCCTCCGATCGCTCCTCCTCTCGGGCGAGTGCGGGGTGGCCACCGTGGCCGCCTCCTCTGGCGGGTGGCCCTGTGAGACCTCCTCCAGCGATCTTGGGGCGGCCCTGGAACTGCAGTAATCATGCGGAGCCAAACTGAAGGGGCGTCCCACTTTCCTCCGCCCAGTTAATTTTTATCTCAGAAAAGCCCTGTTCTGAGTTGAGCACGTGTGTTCATACCTAAAAATAATTTCTCTTTTCCCTCTTTTCTTAAGATGAGAGGATTTAAGCAGATCCATGTTCTGAACTAGGTAAGCTTCGAGATTTTACACCACGTGTTACCTGCACGCGCGGGGTCTGCCATCACCCAGGTTTGCTAGGGAGAGGGGCAGACACACATATTCCAACGTTAGACCAAGCCCAACGGTACTACCTTACCGAGAAGGTGACTCTTCTGAAGGAAATGATGCTACATATAAAAGTAAGTCATTTGGGAATTCTTTTATTACAAAAATCTGTGTGGTTATCTCCTGTGGATTAGACACAGTGCAACAGAGAGGAGCTTGTACCAGCTGAGTAAAGCGGTTCCACCTGTTTAAACCTTTCTTTAATAAATACGTATTAATCACCTACTATGCTGTTCCAACGGCAGGAATACAGCAGAAAAAGGCAGAAAAATCGCCTTGGTTTCACAGAGCTCCCTTCTAGTCCTCGAGAACAGGGCTGCACGTCTGTTACGGCCTGGATGTCCCCCAAGGCCAGCTGGCGCCCTTCGGGAAATGGCCGCTTCACGGGCCTCTAACTGATGACCATGTGCCTGCCCCTGCGGGAGGTGATGGACACACAAGGCGCAGCCTGAGGAAGCAGGTCCAGGGGAGATCTTGGGGACGCCCTCGGCTCTGGCCCCGCCTGCACGGGTCCTTCTCATCCGCCTCCTGGCCGCCAAGAGAGCAGGAGCTCCCCGCAATGCCTGCCCACCGTGCTTCTGCCTTGCTACGGGCCTAAACGCTGCGAAGCCAGCTCACCAGCACTGAAACGCCCGGAACGATGACGGTGACTGATGTCCGGTGTTACCCAAGTGACAGAGGCTAACACAGACGTCGGTGCAAGAAGGGGGACTGCCTGCGACTACACACTGCTCACGGTCTGACTGTACCTGACCGGAAACCCGGGGTCTCAGTGGTCTGCGGAACTCACTTGTGGGAGGGCTTCGGAGAGGTTTGGCGGGGAGCAGGAAAGCTCTAGAAAGTTGTAAGTGGAGTGCAGTAAGCAACCCTGGTGGCGGCTCAGAGAACCAGAAGGCCTACAGGAACGCTAACGGTGAAGACTGCTCATGCGACTTCACGTGGGAAGGAGGTGCCACCTTCTAGCAAAGAGCTTGTCTACATTTTGTCCACGCCCTGAACCATCATGGGAGGCTGCACTTAAAGTGATCCACTACTTACCCCGGGGGAGGTAATCGGTGGTGCAGGCCTCAGGCAGCGGCAGGGGTACTACCGGAAGTTCACAGTGAGAACTGGGAGCAAAAAGCAGGGCGGAAAGATAGGGAAACCTGCTGCTTGACCAGCAAAGTCACTGCAGCGGCTGAAGAGATCGGCACCACTGAAAATAAGCCGAAGTACTTGGTACTGCGACAACAGAAAGGCCTGGAGAGGGCCTCAGCGGCTGCCAGACACTCTACTCACAGGCTGGCGGGCTCCACGCACAAACCCCTGGGAAGGACACCGCTCTGGGAAGAGAGCGGCGTGGGAAGCTCGCCCGGACAGGGCCACCCGGGAGCCGGCTCACGACGCTGCCCTGGCCACGCAGTCAGCGGCCACTGCAGCTGCGCTCTGGAGAGGCCTGTACTGCCGGTGCTGGCAGCAACTGCGGCATGCACATGCTGCTGGCGTTGTAGGCAAGCAGCACTTAGAGTGACGGGGTCGCAGAGGTCTCCACCGACTCCACAGGGAAGCCTGGGAGGCCCGACACCGTGCAGGGTCAGAGCCCTTGCGGGGGCCTTTGAGACGGCCCTGCATGTAGTTGTAGGAGTGAAGCAGCAGCTACACTGCAGACCCCAGCAACTTGGCAATGCCAGGAACGGGGACGTGAGCCAAGGAAAACAAGGCAGCGAGCCGAGCCAGCCCAAGCGTGGCCATGCCGGCTGCAGGAGGCCAGGCTGTCGGGACGGCCTTCTGGAGCTCAGTCAGGCCGGGGGCTGCCCGAATGCCGGACCCGAGCTGTAGGACTGAGTGTCTGCCTGGCGGGCCTGGGTCTTGCCTGGCCCGCTCCCTTCGCTCTTTGCTCGCTGCTCCCTCCCGCAGGGGGAGTGTTTCCCCGCACACATCGGCACCTGCGTGTGTGTGGGAAGTCCGGAAGTGCTTTCTGTTCCAAGGGAGCTCACAACGAGAGTCTGCCTGGAGCTGTGGGGGAGACTTTGGGTGGGACTCCTGAGCAACGCAGGAACTGCTCAGACCTCGGCGACTTCTGGCGATGGACTGAGTGCGCCCTGCCTTATGAGGTGACCTCTGGCCCTCGGCAGGGGTGAAATATGGCTCAGATCTAACACGGCCCCTGGGGCCACCTGACGGGCCTTGGGCAGGGTGGGGTCGTGAAGCCTCTGACTTCATCAGTGGATGAACTCAGTAATGACGAGGAGGTCTCAGGAAGGAAGCGGGGTGCGGAGGCGCGGCTCTGTGGCTCACGCACGGCCTCAGCTCGCCGCTGTCCCGAGGGGAGCGCTGCCCTCCGCAGTGCCCGTCTGCCACCACGGCTCTGCTTCAGCGCGGGCCCGACCCAGGCTGCGGCTGTGAGTACCAACAACCCTCTCTTCCCGTGTCAGCGAGGGCGAACCCGCTGGAGACCGAGCGCGCGAGCTGCAGCCCACGCCTGCTCATGTGTCACGAAGTGCCGACCCTGGATTAAGCCGCGAGACTGAGGTTTGAGTGTAGGAAGAACGACACGCACACTCGTGACATCATCGCGGAGGGGCTCGCCATGCTCGCTGGGGCACACGTGCCACCGGCCTGCCACCACTGCTCTGTGTGGATTCAGGTCACTTACTGTCACAGCAGTGGAAGCTAACACAACATCGTACAAAAATACGTATGACGGTGTCTTTCTTCCATAAACAGCTGCAACAACATTTACAGAAGATGATTCTAGCTAAATAAGCCACAGAACAACGGAATATCTTTTTCCTGGTAAAAGCAGAGTCCATAATGACCCTAAACTGAATGAGAAACATGGGAAAACACGGGAGCTACCCAGACGTTCCCTAACATTAGACACCGCAGATGGGGGGAAAACGCGCACACTCCACTCCAGCCGCTCACACGGCCTCGTAATGGAGACAGGTTAGGGACACCGCCCCACACGCACGCACTGCCCCTCGGGACATGGAGACCCAGGCAGACAGAGAAGTGGAGCTTGGGAGCAGGCAATCAGGAAAGGGCTCAGAAAAAGGTGAGGCCTGAATTTAGTCTGGAGGAACGTGCAGAACAGCCAGGTTACACAAGGAACAGGCGATGTGTCAGAAAAACTGGTTAGGGTGGGCAAGACGACAGCGCATAAAGTACAAAAAGCAGGTGATGTGTGGAAATGCGTAAGCTAGGTTAGAAAATACTCCAAGTGATAGGGAAGGCAGGAAGGGACCAGACCTGCGTTAGGAAGATCATCGCCCATCACTGCGGAAGGCGGCTTTTGGTAGCAAGATGAGTAACAGAAGGGGTGGGGAGCGGGTCTGAGATCACTGCTGTAATTAAACTGACAAGGACGGAAGTCTGAAATAGGACGGCTGTAACTGGGAGGGCCTGAGACAGTCTGATGAGAAAGAGCTGTTAGAAAATGAAGGACTAGCCGGGCACGGTGGCACACGCCTGTAATCCCAGCACTCAGGAGGCTGAGGCAGGAGGATCACTGCAAATTTGAGACCAGCCTGGGCTACAAAGTGAGCTCAAAGCCAGTCCAAACTGCATAGTGAGACTCTGTCTCAAAAAGTCCAAAAGAAAGAAAGAAAGAAAAAGGAAGGAAGGAAATAAGTGAAGGTCTGCATCTGGAGAAGGTTAGGTGAGAACAGGCACTAGTGTCAAAACTTACTGCTCATTTTCATAGCTCCATACTCATAGCTCCACATAAATACATGTTTTTCTTCCTTACCAGGGAGTCTTGTTTACGTGAGAGTCCAAACGAACAGCAGAGGGCTGCCCTTCCTGCATTTCTGGCTGGTAAGCCCTACCACACCCGGTCAGCCTTTTACCCGTTATCAACATCACCTATGCACGGGCCATCATGCCCTAGCAGCTAGGACAGCAGATGCCGGAGAAACCACACACTCACATAAACGAAGTCCTAACGGGTGGCCCAGTACCGTGAAGAGAAACCCCACACGCTCACACGCGGCTGAAGACATGAGTCACCCCCAGCAACACTTCAACGGAGTCTGATCTGTACTCATGAAAATAAATTTCCTTCCCATTAAGGGTTTTTTAAAAAAGTGACAGTTTTACTCTCCGCAGCACTTATAATCCCTCCTGCACACACAAGCAGAGCGGGCCACCTGGAGGGGCTTGCGGTCAACGCACGTGCTGTGCTTTAGTTACGCGGACTTTAACCCTGCGCCGGCGCTAATGCTTCCCGCGTGAGCCGTGCTTCCTGCCGCTCATCTGCAGGAATGAAAGGAGGCGCAAGCTCAGATCACAGAGCAGGCCCAGGCAGGCGCGTCTCCCCGCGCGGCTCACCACAGCATGGTTCTTCACGTAGCAGGGCTTGCACACCGGCCTCTCCTCGACCATCACGTACACGGCCCCGGCGAGGACGCAGTCACAGTCAAAGCAGCAGAAGTGCTTCAGGTGCCAGTTCTGGTTTTCCGCCTGAGTGTACTCATTGCTAAATATCAGCTGGGAAAGGGCAAGAACAACACGCATCAGGCACTTCTCACTGTGCTACAGATGACGAAGTCAGGCTGTTTAGACAGGCACGTAGACTACAGGTGGATTAGACACCTTCCTGGGGCTTAAGGTCTGCAAATGAACATTAAGCTTGAATTTGTTGCCGTTTAGCACGAATCAGCGTTTGGTACCTGCTCAGCCCCTCACTGTCAGCACAGCTAACATCTAGAGCGAATGAAATCCTAAGTTCGTCTCATTAACCTTCCCTGGATGGAGACGAACAACTAGTGCTCAGTCCACTCCTGCTGCCCTGGGTGAGGGGCTGCCCAGAAGGACGGGGAGCCGCGCCGGGCGGCCCCACGGACAAACCTCGTCACAGCCAGCACAGCGGGGCTTCTCGCTGTCACAGTAGTGCCTGCCGCAGAACAGCTTCCCGTTCTTCCAGAAGTAAATCATGTCGACCAGGAGCTCCCCGCAGCAGCTGCAGACGAAACACGCCGGGTGCCACAGCTTGCTGTAGCCGGCCCGCTCCGCGTAGATGGCCGGGTCCCCCTCCTTCATTCCCAGGGCGCAGCCGTAGCAGGACTGAAAGGGAAGCGTCCAGACAGTGCGGTCAGGGAGGCCGTTCTCGCGGCAGTGCAGAGCAACAGCGTGCCGGGCTGCGTCCCTGACCTGCCCGCCCAGGGGCGACGCCACTGACGCTCTGGCACGCGGGCTCCCCTAGCTTTCCTGAGCCGCGCAAGCCCACTTCTTCCAGCCTACTGTTTCCTGAAGTGAAGTCATGATGGAGGTAGCAACTTTCACCTGAATTTTACATGAGTTCTTGCAAAAAGGCCTATTTCAGAGCTTATTAGTAACTGTTCTCCAGCGCGGAACGAACGGCTGAGGCGCTCACTGGAACAAGGAGAACACATCAGTGGGTTTCCTTCCCGGGCCTGCTCATCTGTGTTGCAAGGGTCCACCCCGCGAGCCCTGGAGAAGGACTCCAGCCTCCCCCTCGGAGAAACACACACACCAAGGTGCTGCCAACGCGGCCACACAAGGCGCGACTGAATTCCAGAGTCACAAGCGACACTGAACTAACCTAAGCACGTATTACTCGTTTATAGGCCGAGACAAGCAGTCGCCGGGAAAGTTAGGGCAGGAAGGAGACTCCAGACTAGTACGCCAGCGGGCACAGGGCTCCGTGGCACAGCCTGGCCAGCGTGAGTTCAGTGCCAGGTACCACAAAAATAAAAACTGACAGCTCTACTCACATATTGGGACTGTCTGTGCTCTGCAGATTTGTCCTCCACGGCCCCCGCCGCTGCTGGGGTGCTTCTGTCCCCTCCAGGGAGGTGCGCTTTGTGGGGACCTTGGGTGTCCACCTCACAGGGAAGTTTGACGTCTCCGACTCCCAGGGCCTCGCTCTTGTATTTCTTCACGAACTGCTCCATCTCCTTCACCTCTTTGGGCGACAGCTCGTGGCACTTGGACGGGTCCTGGTCGTGCGCCGGGAGCTGCTTAGCCAGCTGCTTCTTGCGGTACTGCGCTCCCTCCGAGCCTGCCACGGGCTGCTTCTCCCTGGGCAGCATCTGCATGTACTGCCTGGCCTGCAGCAGAGAGGCCACCGTCAGGCGAGGCGCGCTGGCCACCAGGCACCGCGGCCTTGTAACACACGTCACAAGCAGGCTACTTACGAGAAAGGTGCATTTTAGCTGTTAGCAGCAATTCATTTGCATGCTGTAAATACCCTGAGACGTTCACACATTAGAAATTGGTATACTAATGGAGGGAGGTAGGTAATAAAAGCTTTGTTCATGATGAAATTAATTTTTTCAGTTTATAAAAAGATTTTAATACTTCTATTTACTTGTGCTAAGTCAACAAACATATGATTGAAAGACAAGGTAAATTCTTAGGCAGACACGGTTACAATGGCCTATGGACCCGCAGCACTTTCACCGTACGGAAAATGATACAAGACTCACTTGAACGACCTACCTAATCTTTCTCGAAGACTTCTAAATGCTTCACCTAGTTACCCTAACAGTGGAAGGGGCTCAACACAAGCTTGAATTTTTTGCCTTATACAGTAAAAAAGCAAAATGTTTAAATTAACATTTTTGTTCAGCAAACAACGGCAGAAATTCTATTCCTTAAATATTCTCTGCCACTTTAAGAGAAATCCTCCTGGGAGAAAATGAGGGGTTACTAGCTTGATTTAAAACATGCCATTTTCGTGTGATTATTAAGCATGTCAGAGCAGTCCCTGCAACCTCGTGTAGTCAGAAAAATTCTGTGAGGTGTTTTCTAGTCTTTACAGTTCAAAAGACTGTGATGGGAGGCAGGGTCAAGGTCGCGGGATCTCCCAGCCCAAACACACGCAGGGTGGCTGCGAGCCGCGCCACGCAAGGAACTGTCCCGAATGCACGTCCGGGATGAAGAGACGCCTGCCCCCGCCCATTTACCAGGGCCTGGTTCTGCACAGGAGGGGCCCACTCGTAGGTGACGGTGTTGATGGAGACGTCCTTCTTGGCAGCGACGGGGTTGGTGAGAATCATAACGTTGCGCTTGTACGTGGGGATCCCGTCGGACTTCAGCTTTGCGAGCAGGGTGGTGTACTTGGTGTCCTGGAACAGCCTCCCCACTTTCCGGTCCTCTTCGCTGCTCAGGAGGACGTCATGCTCTTCTTGGCCGCACTTGCAGTTGCGACATATTTTTCTATAATTTAGGAAGCGTAAGTGGGAGACGGTTAACCACCCAATTGGTAGTAAGTGTATGCCCACGTGCGCAGTTCACAAAGTACTTTTAAACGTATACAGTGGACTGCAAAGGCCGCCTCGGTGGGGGAGGGACGCGTACCCACAAATGTAAGCAAGAAGGAAATACACAAATAGACCTTTTCCTTGTAGGACTCCTGGTATGATTAAAAAGCACATGCTCAAGGGGGCATGTCTGAAACGAACCCTTCCGGGGTTACTCATTCTTTCACCAAAACCAGTACATAGATCCCCAAAAAGCTATCACGGCAAGGGCTTTATATCTTATTGCATGTTAGTGTTCCACTGCCTCTCCCACCCAGAAAATTTTACAGTGACAGACTGGGGCCTGGCATCACTTTTCCCATCCAGAGACCAACTTTCTCACTTCCTTTCCATTCCATTTCCCATTCCTGTTCCTTCCCCTTCCCCTGCTGTCCCCTTCTCTGCTTCTTTTTCCTCCCCTTTCCTTCCTTCATTTTTTTCCTCCCTTGCTTACCACCTACCACGTCCTCTACTACGTATAAAAAGACAGGTGAACAAAAGCGTCTGCCATCACAGCAGGGGCATCACCCTAACCCAATCTGTCCAGGACCAGCTCCACAGGAAGTCGCACATTCATTCACAGAACCTACACGTATGCCCACGTGCCAAGCAATGTGCTTTATACCAGGGCAGCAGTGGAGCAAACGGGCCCCATCATCAGCCTTCTAGGACCACCCCGACGGCGAGCAGTTCTCACTTGACCCTGGGGAGAAAACGCGCCCATATGCAAGTGATGTTTAGGTTTAGGATGTGGAAAACGCAGTGCATGTTGTTCACGGAGAACAGCAAAGGGAGAAGCAAAGCCTCGCAAGCTGCGGGTAGAAAAAGCAGTTCTCCGCAGGGGCCCTGACTTAGGGACAAGATTGCTCCTCAGGGAACCAGCAAAGACCGGCAGGACTGTAAAGAGGAAAACAAATGGGACGATCAAAAGCTGGAGAGGAAGGCGGCACGCGACTGTGCGGAGACCTAAGAGGACACACTGTGGAATTCGGTCTGCAGCACAGGAGTCGTCAGGAGGCAGGGCAGGGCCAATGACACGGTCAGATCTGCAATGTTAAGTACCTCACACCCCGCCCCGTGGAGGAGGGATGGAGTGTGGGACACATCTGGAAGCAAGGAGACCTAACACGTTAACTGTGCCTTTAATTCACAACGGGACGCTTCTTAGTAACAGGGACGCTGTGGCTATTTCATAAAGGCAATTTCCACGTTAGACGGTCACTGCTGTGGTCCAGGTAGATGCGTTATAGCCTGGACTAAGGTTTCACCAGTAATGATGAAAAGAAAGATTTTAGCTATCCTTGAATACAGGAATTACTTTACCTCGTGGCTCATTTGGATGCAATGTTGGGTTCTTAAAAAAATGAACACGGGTTTGAGGATTAGGCAGTACGCTGGAGGGATGTCTCTTGCACTAAGTAATTAATACAAAAGACAGCCAGCCTGGAGCTAAGGGACAGGGCAGGTTGACGAGCCTTTACCGACACATTTGAAATGCTATGAGGCCAGGCAAAACCACCAAGGAGGCAGTAGGATATGCAAGTCTAGGGTTAGCAATCAGCCTGGGGGAAAAACAGCGGGGAGTCAGGGCCCAACAGAGAAGGTACACCACCCTCACCTCCCACGGAGAGCGGCGAGGCCTGGTGAGGCTCACGGCAGCGGCCAGAGGCTGGGAAAGGTGACGCAGAAAGACAGAGAAGCGGGAAGGCCGCGGGAGCAGAAATCTAAGCTGGATCTGCAATACAGGACAGCAGGCATGCGTGTTTTAAAGGCCGCACATCGCTCAGGAAGCACTAACGGCGTAAACTAACATCAGACCGTACTAGGTTAAACCCGCACGCTAAAACACCGAGGGAACTAACAGAAGAACTTTATGGCTTAAATGCTCAAACTGAAAATTATGAAGAGAAGTATTCAACTCAGGAAGGTAGGAAAAAGCAGAATTACCCTAAAGTACCGGGAAGGAAAATAAGAGTAAGAGCAGAAACTAATAAAGTGAATGTTTGCTTTTCATTACACGCAGAAATGGCGCTGGACACATTTCAACACCTCTCACGTTAACAGTTTGTTTAGTAACTTCAGAAAGAACTAGCAGCATTCCAGAGTTTTGGGAAAAAACAAAACAAAACAAAAATCGAACACTGGGTCAACTTTAAACTCAGTGGATTAATTTTACGATGGGAAACAAGAAGGTAACTTGATATATCTAATTCTGTTCATATCATCCTGAAGGTACTGTTCAGAGCAGTGAGAAAAATTTAAGAACAGGAATCGTAAGGATTCATCAGAAAGGAAGAAACTGAACCGTTACTCACAGCTGCTATGGTTGGCCACACAGAAAGGCAACTTACTAGCATTACGAGGAGCTTTTCCCGGTGTGGCAGGACAGGCCTATAAACCCAGCGACTTGGAAGGCTGAGGGAGGAGGCCAGGCTGGGTAACTCCGTAACACCTTGTCTAAACTTAAAAACCAACATCTAAAACCAGAAATTAATCTCTTTGTCAAGTAACAAACCAACAGATAATTATATGTATTTTTGTGCCCTGAGTTTTCTTAAACCTTTCTTCAGTGTATGAATTCAAATTCAAATATTAGATCACGAGTTAAGCACAGCACTGCCCAAGGGCAGTGCCTCTCCCTTGCGGTGGTCTTTCATCTTTCTGAAGGAAATTCAGTGGCTCAGAGCATAAACCTGAGCCTGACCACCCAGCGGAAACACTGCTTGGTTTCCTTGGTAACCAAGGTTCGTGCACATCCGCTGGGTTCTCCGTCCTGACCTGGAGATAAGCTCTTCTGAACTGCAGGGTGACGGGAGCACCTACGTCATGTGTTTGTGGTGTCAAAGGAGTGAGCATACACAGCTTGGCACATGCCACGTTCTTTATCACTATTAGCTGTGATTATTCATATTCCTGTTGATCACCCTGATGTCTGTCCTTTATCTCAAATCTGCTTCTGCGTTTACGGAGTTCTCACTTGCTTTCTAATACGCATTTGCCCTTTTACCTCAGCTGGAGTGTAACCTGGGAAAACGGCTGCAAGCAGTGGGCATTTGGTTGCATATCTGAAGATCAGTAAAAAACATTTTAATACTGTATGCAAAATTGTCTTATTTGTACAAGGGTCTGCCCTTCTAGGGAGAAGATCGCAATCTTCAGATTCTCTGATAAACCACTGATCCAAAAATGATTCAGGAAGAGGATCCCTGTAAAGCTTCTGTTTCATCCTATAACTGAATCTCTATGTGTAATGTGTAAGTTGTCAAAATAAAAATGGAGTATTTTGTGTCAACCCCAACAAAAAATAAGGCAAGAGGTACGAAAAACAAATATGAGGTCTGACTTATTGAGAGAGAGGGAGAGAGACACGGTAGCAGGACGTGTACGGGGACAGACACGAGGGCAGAAAGGCGAATTCCTTTCCTTGTGCACACATTGGTCAGAAATCTTTATTTGGTAAAATTTTGTTGAGTAAGCGTATCTTAGTAGCGCTAGAAAGGATTCTTTCTTACGTCGGGTTATCTCACACTCCCATCTGGTGGAAAGGAGCACAGTTCTACTTTCATCACTGTTGTTTCTCAGTTACCAAAAACCAGGAAAATATTTATGGAACTGTCACACTGCTTTTGGATCCCATTTAAGGGACCCTTTCCTGACGAGGAAGGCGGTGAGGTGGGAGCTGAGCTCGGACTCAGACCGCTGTGGCCGTGGACTTCGGCATGCCTCCTGCCAAGGAGCAAAGTGACTGCCTGAAGGATGGAGGACGCGCGGTGAATGCGGGACCTGGGAGCGTTCGTGACCATGACCTACTTCACTACAACATGTCTGATGCAAAGTAAGGAGCTGGGTTTTAGAACTTGATAAAGTAACAGTAAAAGACAGTGAAGAAAACAAAGCCTTCTGGTTTCTGAGCATGAACTAGCTGCAACATGGTGAGATAACGTGCATCTACTGTGCAGGCGCCCCATGGAAAGGCGTGTACCCACCCACCACCTCGGACCCATCTCCGTACCTGGCCACTCAAGGCAGGACTCGCATCCTGAGGACGCCTGTTTTGCTTTCCTCCCCTTCCCCCATTAAGCGTACTTTCACTAAGCAAATAAAATCAGATTAAAACAACGCCACGACCGCAGCAGCGACGAGGGAAAAAGCAGCAGCTGAGAGTCAGACTAAGCCTGATTATCAGTTCTCTAAGCAGGGAGAACCCGGGGCTGATTCGTTACCCATTTTAAACCCACACTGCAGTGTAACCACGCGTCCTCACTGAGCCCGAGTGGGTCCCGCCGGCTGGCATTGTCCTCACCAAAGCAGCTGGAAGGGTGGGTCCCATCTCTCCCAGCCCCCCCGCACCGCAGCGCCCTGCCACGGTGCAAAGCGCCAGCCCAAGACCCCTGGGAGCCACAGGAACCGAGGCTACTTCCCCTTACACAGTTTGTAAGAAAAGGCCTTTCTTGCGCTTTTAGACTACAGTGTCTTGCATGTGGGGGAAAAGCAGGGGAAGGCATTCAGAATTAAGTTCATTTCATTAAAAGTCTTAAGATGTAGAGGTACACAGGGGAGCTCTGAGATGTGGGTGTAGTAAGAAGTTACTTGTACAAAAATAACTTACCACACACACATATGGAAACAATGTTACGCACGACAAGCCAAAACTCTACACTCTGAACAAGGAGTCCATCGGGGGAGAGAGAACCAAACCACCAAAAGCACCGCCCGGAAAAATGAGATTTACGGTTCCAAGCGGAAAGCAGTCCAGACCCATCCTTCAGTTTCCCTCTGTATCACTACTATTTTTCACAGCAGGTCACAGACAGTGGAGGCCTCGCCACGCTGCCAACACTCTCGGTGATTTACAGGCAAGATCGCGGCCCTGCTACAAAACGTAACTTAAAGGGCTGGAAGGTGCCCTTCTGGAAC